TATTTCAGTTTGGCTTTGCATCCAGAACATACAGATGTCAATCATATGAAAGACTTTGTTCTCTCTCTGTTGTCTACTGCAAAGGCGCCCTGCTAGCCTCTTGCACAGAAAGTACATTCCTGGTATGGGTGTGAAGAAGATCTTCATCAGAATTTACAGAAATATTCACAAGAAAGAGAATGAAAAATACCACCATAGAATATCCTCCTCCTGAAGTTCAGGCAGCATTTACGGTGTGCAAGAATGAATTCATATTTTCCATTTACACTTCATCTCTCACGGATGGTTTTTCTCATAAAGTTAGTTTTCTGCTGATGACTCCAAAATAAACACCCACAATTGCAATGTCTCTGCTAACTCCCACTTTTGAATTCCAAAAACCTAGTAGATGCTTTCATTTCTCCCAATCATCTCATCCTAAAGTTAACAACTTCAGTGACAATGACCAAGCTCAACATCAGTAACCATTTTTAGTTTCTCTTCCTTATTGTCTTACACTTCTCTGCCCAGTTTCAATCTCTGCTCCAGGCCTATTTCATTTCCATTACACTTACATTCAGAGGCATGTAAAGCCTTAAAGAGTCTGTCAGGCATTTTCTTCCTCCTCAAATAATGTACTTGTCTTGCTAGCCAGGCTAAGATCCATTCACTAGCTCTCTAACTCACTATTAACTCATAAATCACCTTGCTCTGGTGCCTCCCCCCACCACCAACCCTTGCCACATGATATTGCCTATTCCATGTTCCCCCGAAGTTCAATTAAAACAGGTCAATCTCATGATCAAAATCTTCCAATACCAACTACAACTTCATTCAAAAATGTTAAGCTCCTCCAGTGCCCCAAGGTTAATTTCATATCCAATTTTCTCTAAAGTTTTTGAAACAATTGGTTTTATTTACACTATGGTACTAATCTTAATGCAGTAATTTTGTGTACTTTTTTCATTCCATGAAAAGATATAAAGATACTGCAGATAGAATAAAATCACTACTATATTTCAGTAGCATTTCTTGCACACAGTGACTCTAATAAACACTTGATTAACGATTTCTCTGAGTGATTCTTGTCTGTCTTGGCTTATCTAGGTTCATTCTGACTTGGGGCTTAGTATAGGTTCATTAATAATTTAGAAATGCCAATATGCCATTTGGAGAGGCCAACTGGGAATCCAATATTCTGTGGTGAGAAGAGTTCCTGTTGTGGTCCCCATGTGTGCGGGAGAGAAAGGATCAGACTCCCCAGAGCTTTGCTACTCAAATGTCACTTGCATTCAGACCAGCTAGGAACCTTGTCAAAACCCAGACTGTCATTTACAAGTTGCGGATCAGACCTGAGATTCTGCATTTCCATCAAGTTCCCAGGTTCTGCTGACACTACAGCTGGTAGAGCTGCACTTGGAATAGGAAAGGCGAACACTACACTGTGGTCCCAATAGCCCAGCTTGCCTGAATTAAAGAGCTGGATTCTTTCCTTCTTCCTCACAGTAGCGTTCCTCTCAAACTCTTAAATCACAGTATGCTTTAATTTACACAATTTATTTTTTTCCTTTACAATTCTAAATTGGTCAAATCTGTACATCCCTACATAATTTATTGCTTCAACGCTAGAAACGATAAACAACTGGTTTAGTGTAAACCAACGATACCCAAACTTTTCCTCCTCAGTTTCCGTTCCCACATACTAACAGGGGAAGTGTATCCATCTGACATGCTTTATAACACAGAAAGCAAATGTCAAGAAGAGGATCCATCAATAGAATTCCAAGTATCTTTCTGAAAGATCTTACATTTTCTTTATATTTTGTTTCAATAATATTTGTATCTCTATGAAGTCTAGTACAATATCTGTCTTGAGCTATATAACGTCTTATGAGATTTCTGTTTATTACTTCATCTGATCTTCAGAAAGAACCTAATTTCCAAATGAGAAAATGGTCCCAGAAATAGTAAAGACATATAATTGTTGCAATGGTACACAGTGTCAGCGATAGAGCTAAAACCCATGAGGCCTTTTAAACCTAAACCCCATCACCAATTACAGCCATAGTTTACATTTTGATATTTAGCGCTGCTTAGAAAACTAGGGTAAAGAGCTCTGCCTAGATTTCCACTGAACTTACCAAGTTCACTGCTATTGCTCCCTCTTTACAACTCCACCTTAAGTGTATACGTATACATAAATGCCGAAAGGCTCTCAGTGTGAAAAATCCTTCATAAAACTCAGGGATTTAGAGTCAACGTTTAGGTAGCTGAAGTTATAAGACAAGCATTTGCACATAAAAAATATTTTTCTCCTCAGTAATTTACAGATCAGTAAACCAATTACATACTTTGTAAGGTCCATGCGAGGACTTCTTCAATTAAAACATTATACACTGGTCCTTCTTAAAGTTCCCTCAACAACTATTCATAACCAAAGACACATGGAGGGGTCCTTGGCCCAGCTCTCTGTCATGCTGCAGGGAGCACGCGATGACTTCCTTGGATGAGAGTGACCTTTACCTGCCTCAACTCTAGGAGGGCACCACCACTCTGAGCCTCCACGGACCAGGGTTTGCAGGAGTGCTGCACATACAAGTGTAAACAGCTTTTTTAAATCACTAAAAGATGGTTTTTAAAAGGTAACTTTTAGCAAACTGAAAAGCACTAAACTAAGATCCAGGCTTCAGTTGTATTTTTTTAAGACTGATTTATTTTTATTTCATTGGAAAGGCAGATATACAGAGAGGAGGAGAGACAGAGGAAGAAAGACGGAGCGGAAAATCTTCTGTCAATTGATTCACTCCCCACATGGCCACAACCATCGGAGCTGAGCCAATCTGAAGCCAGGAGCCAGGAGCCTCTTCTGAGTCTCCCACACAGGTGCAGCCCATAAGTCCTGTCTCACTTGGATTGTTACAACTGAAGCCAACGTTGTTCCCTGTCCCTTGTCTTTCTCAACTCTTTTCAGTAGATTGTCAATAGAAATCAGAAAAATCTTCTACAATATCAGTCACATCACATCACACCATGCCCCAAATTCCCTGGTGCACCCCACAACACTTCTATGAGACACCAATGCTTCAGCAACAGCCATGCTCTATCACCCCGTTAATTCTCAAACTCCTACGCTGATACAGGCCCAATTGCCAGAATCCCGGCTTAGCATAAGACACATCTGGGGAACACAGGATTCCATTCAAACAGAGTGCATTCCCCCAAAGCAAACGAAAACGACATGCCCCACAAGCAAAAGTATATTACGTAGGAATTCTTGCTACAAGACTGACAGAATTCTTCAGGACACCTTTTTCTCCATTGATCCTACACCAAAAATGTCCAGATTCCACCACACAGCATGAAATCCTGAATGACTCCGTGGTTCCTTGTAACTTATCCTAAGGGCTTCTACCACTCACACAAACCATAGGCTCTTATCAAGATCAACAATGGTCTTCTTAACTGCAAAGAGTGGTCAACCACAAAGACCAGGACTGAATACTCAACCACCACAGTAGTAAAAATACTACAGTGTTCTCAATAAGTCCCCAACTATGAGCACTTCATGCCTGAAGGAATTTAACTTTAACAGAAAATGCACAGGGAAGGTACAGGAACAATTTCAAAGAGCATAGCACATTTCCAAGCTGGGATTGTGAAATGTTTTCAAATTTGTTGACATAATGAAAACGTTGGTTCATATTTTCACACAAAATACGATTTGCCAGGGCTTACTGAATTTTTTACTCTACCAACAATATTTTATAAGTCCTTTGTATGAACTGACACACATTACAAAAACAAATTAAGGCATGTGATCAACAGAAAATCAAAATCTAAACACTTCACAAGTAATATCATCAATGAAGAGATCGGCAGTTAGGCTTCTGAACCTACTGTCCTCACTGCTTCATCACTCCCTGTTGCCTTCACTACCACTGAACCATGCCAACACACAGGGCACAGGGGGAGCCACGCTGAACACGTATGATGAAACTCTACTTGGGATGAAGACTGCACTTTACAAATATGCATTTGGAGGGAGCGAAAAAGCACAGAGCTCCCCATTCATTTCTCCATGAATTCTGACAAAAATCAACAGCCATTGTATAAGTTGGTTAATGATAAGTTATAAAGGAGCATAAAATATTTAAAACAAGATGTTAAGTTTTTTTCTGTTCAGTGTGCATACACATAAGTTTCAGAGATGCAAAAAATAATTACTACCATTGCATCCCATTGAAAAGGATAAGATGACAAAGATGTAATAAAGAAACCTGGTATTTTTCTCAAATCTTGATGTTTGTGTTCTTTCATAAGGAGCATTTCCCACAAGGGCACAATGAGGTGGCAAGAGCACCAGCCAACAGCTTCCTGCTTAGGGAGCAAGTTACTCAGTCTTGGATCCAACATCTCTTAATATGAAAATGGTATATTTGGTTTTCACTAAAATGTGAAACTTGAGGCTGGATAAAGTTCAAGTAGGGTATGTCCCTCTCATGCTCTTTCTTTGTCATCTTCACAACCCTGCACACAGCTTGAAGTGGCATGCACTTCTTCATCTGCTTAGTATCTACTCGTCTTCAATGACAAGCAAAAAAAGACGGGCTGGTCCATGGCCCAGACCAAAGCGTGGCACACAATGAGTCAATAGCACACGTTTGTGGAATGGGCGAAAGGATGGTCATTCCCTAGCTGAAGGCAGTTATGTAAAATTAGTTGAGACAACTTTCATTAGGAACTTAACTAGTCTTAATACAATACCAGCTATAGCTTGCAGACAAAATTCATCTTCTTAAACACTGGGTTGAAAATGTACTTGAGTAGTTTCAGCACCCATTCTCCTACTAAAAATCAATTGGACTTCGTGCTCTATAACAATATTTTCATTAACGGATGCCAACACTATAAACATTCCTCAGAAGAGAAATCAATATGCATTTCTACTCAAAATAAGTATACTGATGAAAATGGACATTCAGAAATTACAGTAAGCAATCTAAACACATTTACATACTTACCTTTGTAGGTTAGCTTGAGTCGTGGAATATTCTGCTTAGAAGTCCCAATGACAGGCACAAATAGCATGGTCGTGCTTAGCATCACCAAAGTGTGAAAAAGGTGGAAATCTTGACTTCTGAACTTCAGTTTCTCATCTTTATTAGCATTCATGATGAAAACCAGGCTCTCTTTCAGCTAGCTTTAAACTAAAAATAAGAAAAGAATGATTAAGACTGCATTCCTCTTATTTTCATAGCTGCATTCTATTATAATTTTCAGAACACGCATATATGTTTTACTACTAGTGAACTGTTTCAAAAAATTGGAATGGGTTAACAAATTTCAAAAATTACCCTTACTCAGAGGTAGAAATGAATGTACTGCCAGAAATTCAACTATTTGTTAATTAACTATTTAATCAATGCAAGTATTTGGTTAAAATTTTCCTTGTTTTTTTAAGATTTATTTTTATTGGAAAGGCAAATTTACAGAGAAGAAAGAGGAAAAGATCTTCCATCCACTGATTCACTCTGCAAATAGCTCTAAGTAGCAGAAGTTGAGTCGATCTGAAGCCAGGAGCTTCTTTGGGTCTCCAGGAGGGTGCAGGGTCCCAAAGCTTTGGGCCGTCCTACACAGCTCTCCCAGGTCACAAGCAGAGAGCTGGAGCTGGGAAGGGAAACAGCTAGAACCTGAACCAGTGCCCACAGAGGATCCCAGCGCTTGCCAGGAGAGCTTTAGTCCACTGAGATACTGTTCATTTTGTTTTTGTTTTTTAATGTACACATCTGTGGCATCTGTCTGTCCACAGGCCGATGAGAAGATGCCGTGCACAACTGGACAGCAGCGCCCACTCTGACAGCGTTCTTACTTCTGACCAGGAGACACTTTATCATTATTACTATGATTTTGCTGATATTTTTTCTTGCTTTGCTTTTTATCATTTTACGATACATCCTATAGGCCCTGGGATTTTTCTTTTCCCCTCCCCAAGTACATTTTAAAAGCTCAATTGGATTGGACAGATTGAGGCAGTGACCAGGGCCACTAGTGCAGACGCATGTTAGGCCTGTACCACAGAGCCTGATCTGTGCCTTCCACTGTTCTCTCCAGGTCAGCGCTGACTCAAGAAACACACCACGCAAGAGAGGCATGGTGGCTACTATCTAGCCTGCATGAATGGGCTGGCTTGGTTATTTCTGTGAAGCCATGTAAAAAATCAAATAAGTATTTAAAACTAAGCCTGGTCCTATTTCTTGAATATTTATATGTTCCAGACGCTTTGTGTTGAAAGCCCTTTCTCAGGTTAAAGGTGTTACTGCTAATGGCAGCCATAAAAGGTGGGTAACCATTTACCTGCAGATAAAAACAAAACAAAATCAAAAACTAACAAACAAAACCAAGATACAGAGCTGTATCTTGTAAGAGCTAGGTAATTCTTCCAAGATCATGTAGGGAGCAAGAGCTGCATGCCAGCGACACTGGACAGACTTTCCAACCCCTGTCTGGGCTGCTTTCCCTCTCAGAGGCTCGGGCGACACTCCGACGGTGTCTTCAGCTCTCCTCCCTCTTCACTAGGCTACCGCTCACATTCTGCCCTCGGAAGCACTTGGCTGCACTGGCTGCCAGGGGCGACGCTCCTGCCTGCTTTAGGAGTTGTCTAAGTAATTTTTATTCTCCATTACTGCGAGCTTTAACTACAAGAAAGCACTAGACTTTACAGAGCGTGTTAATTACTTCACATTTAAAATAAATGCCATGTCTTTGGAAGCCAAAGGATCCACCTTCTTAAAGGAGAGCTACTCTTCACCGAAGCACCTGAGGGATTAGAACCCAGGCATCAAAGTTTCAGTCATCTTAGATCTCAGATGTTAAGATCAGTCTGAGATAAGAAAGATCACCCTTTGAGGAGTATCAATGTGTATTCATGCATGCTAAGCGTTTAAGGACATCAAATTTTATGTTGCATTTCTTCATAAAATGTTGAGCATGAGTGTTTAGTAAATTATATTTTCTTGATCGCCCTCATTACCTCCCAAGACATCCACAGGCACCATGTTATTTTTTGATTTGTGAATAATGTTTTAACCAAGCTGATTTAGATATTCATGTAAGAATACTCTATTAAAGATTCCACATAATCCATTCACAATTACTTAATATTTCTTGGACATTTTCCCTCATACTACATCTGAGAGCCAACAGGAAAGACCCTGACCAAGATCCATCTTTACCAGTACATTCCTTTAGGAAACTTCAGTTGTACATATTTTAATACAAAAAACAAAGCCTTTTAACTATAAATCATGAAACAAAGTCTAAAATGCAAACAACATGTCAAAAGCACTAAGAAACTATGTTTGTTCTATTGCCATAAAACAGAGGCATGGAAGCTGGTCTAGAGAAAATGAAATGGGTTACATTTTAATTAAGAAATGCATGCATACAACTTTTTAGTTTCTGACTTAACACCCAAAAAAACTTCCTTTATTCATGGACTTACGGGTTCTCCCTAGAACTGTGCTGGTTCTATACAGAAAAAGAAATAGGATTATATTTGTATATATGTATATAATTATGTAACTTGAAATTGCACTTAAATATATTTACACATCTACTCACATTTAAATATCCTAATAATCAATTATACCATAGCTAATCAACCATTTATTAAGGTGAGTTTAAAAGCTAAGATTTTTTTTCTGAAATGAGTATTGGTTATATATAATTAAGTATCACAATATCCTAAACTCAAGGCATCTATGAGTTATAATGGAATGTGGCTTAAAGCATGACTGTATCCAACTATGCAGGGCCAGAATAGCTTCATGGAGGACAGAGAAGGGAGACTGGGAAGAACACAGAATTCCATAAACATACTGATGCCTAGTTAAAGGTTGCAGTAAAGCTTGGCAGCAGCATGACACACTTAGAGGCTGCAAAGAGAAGGAGGAAAGACAGAGTCTCTCTCACGCAGTGGATGGAGAATGAAGGAAAAGCAGAGGACACCAAACCCCCTCAAACTGCCCCTCCAACGCTCCTCCTGCTGCCCTGCGTACCCAACACTACAGTGACTCCACACAGAGCGTCATTCTGCTGCCACCTGTGCTGAACTGGCACTGCGCCACGCCAGATTCCCTTTCACCAGCACTTTGCTGACCCCGCTGCACCATGGCTTTTACTTTCCCTTACAGCCACATGTTAGCTGAACTCTGTTATCTGACTCAGGCAAAAACCACAGCCTCAGTATGCAAACATGATTCCCACTCCTCCCCCAGCAAAAAGCAGAGGTAAACTAAATGTAGACACTGAGTATATTCATTCTCTCATTAGCTTTAGCTTCTCTGTGCTTCTAGACAGCATAGAAAAACTACTTTTTGATGACATGTAACAAAGCATGTAATGTGAATGCATGTTTATATACAAAGGGAAAAGAAGGGGAACTTTCCATATGTGCATTTTATTAGCAATAATGACCTCAGTACAGGACATTTCCTGTAAATTAATGACTAGTTGGAGTTAATGGCCCTTGGCTCTGTATTGCGATATCTACTCCTCCAACTGGCCATTAATCGCTACGACATGCCCTATGGCTCCAACACCGTAAGTTAAAGAGATTGATGTTTTGATTTTCAATGAACAGTAGTCATACTGTTCTCCTTGTAACCCAACTCATTAATATTGTTAAGTAATCTAAAAATCAAAGCACTGCTTTCCTTACCACCATGACATTCTGATAAGTGGCCGCACGTGCTGAAACATACTAATGGGATGAAACAAAATGCAGAAAGTGTCCTGAAACTGGTACAACTTTAAAGGAATCTTTGTTACAGTAGAACACTCACTTTCTGCAATCTGCTGCCCCTAAGTCTGCTTTTCTTCCCAAGAATCCTTTGAATTCAACAGTTAATCTTTTAATTGAGATAATTTATGAGTTAAAGGACTTGCCAGCATTTTCTCCACAAATCTAATGCTATTTTGCTATCTTCTGATGCACGTGCTATGATCGTGTGCACATACATGTGAGTGTGTCCTGTGTCTGGGAGGAATTATGGGCAGAAGTAGGTGTGATTTAACCCAAAGTGGGTGGATTTGGTGAGCTGCATAGGTTATACTGCATGCTACTGTCTGTAACAAGCTCGACCTGGAGCCAATTAACCGCATGTAATCCATTCCAGATGTTCACTGGGACAAACAGCACTCTTGGGGATCCTCAGATGTGGAGCCAACAGGGAGTGTTCTGATTACGAGAGGTTTTTACACACTGTTCCACTAAATCAGAGATCCAATGCATAATCTAACACTCAAGGAGGCCCTGTGCCTTTTCCCTAAGGAAACTACAGAGGCCAGAGCTTATGAGATGGATGCAATTGTCAAAAAATGCATTTGAAAATCAAGAAATAGAATATTTTATGTGAGGACTTCATTGATTTGAACTATTTATTTTCATCTGTTCCAGCAGTCATTATGGCAGGATAATATGCTGTCAGAGCACAAAAATCGTTTTGCATGGGGCACACAATCAGTCTTTCCATATGAAAACTAGAACATCAAGGTATGGCATTCCTCCTTAGGTGTATATTCAGATGAAGGGAGGGAAAAATCTTTCCTTTAAAAATTTTTATTAAGATATATTTGCTCTTCGTATCTTATTGGTGTGCATGAGATTTCATCAAACCTTTTTTTTTGACCCAATTGAGCAGATACAATGCGTTATGACTACATCCAACGTAAAAGCAATCACTGCATACCTCACTTCACTCATTTGGAGTTCAGAGTTTTGAGCTACTGTTCAATTAGATAGATTTCCTACATGTTACACTTCACTGGCCAGTTACTGGTAACATTACTACATGAATAGCTGCAGATGGCAAGTCAAAGAAATCACAAAAGACACAGGAGCATTCAGAGGCAATATAGACAAACAACGGGAGACTTTGTGGCTGCAGAGAGCTATGACATAACCCACTGCTCAAATGCAATCACAGCAAAGTGTGATGCAAGAGTATGTAGGAGGCTCTGTGGAAACAAAGCTTACAGTGCCAGAATTGCCATTAAAGCTTATGTTGTCTCATTCTTTTAAAAGTTCCCCTTGGTTTGTTCTCTACTACTCATACTGTCTCACTTGTTTAGTACAGTCAGGAGTTTGCAGTAAAGTTTATAGCATTGTTATT